CACAGGGCACCAGGCTGAGCCACGGCCCCACTTGATTTCCACCGCGAGGCCCCGCAGCCGACGCTGCCGCTGTGCCTGCCCAGCCCAGGCTGAGCCACTTCGCCTCCCCCCTCCCTGCCCAGCGCGCGGGTCTGGTCTCTGCTCCAGGCGGCAGAGCTGTAGGACACAGGAGGGGCCACGCTGTCCACGTCCCCTCACCCGGGCTTTCCACCAGGGCACCGGGGCTGGTACCGCTTGCCAGCCACATGGAAACACTCTTGGGGTGGGGTGGGCAAAGAGGAGCCGTGAGGACGTGTCACCGCTGCCCCTCACAAGCAGCAAGCGCGGAAGGACGGCTCCCATCGGGAGTGTTCACAGCGGGGATGCCAGCTCTCCAGGCTGCAGCCCATCTCCCTGCACAGCTGCAGGCGGTCTCTGCCCGGGGGGAGGAGGGCAAGGGAAGGGAGCAGCCCCCGCTTACCTGAACCAGACAGTAGCCCAGCAGTCGCAAGTGCCTGTCCCTCATGGCTCGCGAGCCCACCAGTATGTCGGAGTTCTGGCAGTAATGCCATTTGTCATTGACCGACAGCACCACCCTGCAGAGGACAGAGCCGGGGAGGGCAGAGTTACCCCACGCCTCAGACCCTGCAGGCCCACGCCTGGTCCCCAGAACAGCAGTGGATGAAGGGCAGCACCCCCCGCCCCCCGTGCCCAGCTGGTGGCAGGGGCAGCCGTACCCAGGCTGGGACCTGCTGCACCCTGGGCGGTGGGGACAAGGGTTTCTGCAGCGCAGCCCGTGCTGCTGCCGGGCACCTGATGGCACAGGGCAGGAGGGGGCCGGGGCCGACTGCCGGGGGGCAGGAGCTGAAGCCAGTGCCAGCTGTCCTGCCAGAAGGGAGTGGGGACAGGGACCAGCCTGCTCAGTACCTCTGAATCTCTTCAGCTGCCTGCGGCCCGTCACCGGGCCCTCGCTTGGTGCTGGGCCGGCATGGAGAGGGCGGAGGGCAGGTGTCCTCGCTGCGGGGCGGGCTCCTTTCCTCCGGTTCCTCCTGAGCCTGCTCCCCCTGGAAGCAGTTGTGATCACGCCCAGGGCAGCCGGCGGTAGCTGCCTCCTCCTCCTCCTCCTCCAGAATCTTGCCGATGGGGAACTGGAAGAGGGTGGCTGCAGAGGTGCCCCTGGGCGAGCAGTCAGGGGTGCCAGCTGGCTGCGTGGAGAGGCACTCGGAAGGGCTGCTTAAGGTGGAGCTGCCCTGGCTCTCCAGGGAAGACTCTTTGCTCAGGCCGCAGTAATAGTCCGAGGGGGGCTGGTAGCAGGGGCCCCCCGGCGCAGGGCAAAGCGTGGGTAGGAACCGCCCGGCCAGGTTGTTCTCACGGGAGCCCGGGGGGCTACTTGGCGTCTCTGGAGCAAACGGGGCAAAGTCCTGCAAGTCCGAGGTGAGGGCCAGGACGCTCGAGCGCAAGGAGATGGCGGCAGGGGATGTTGTAGTGTGGACAGAGGGAGCCTTGGAAGCCGCAGGAACACGGGAGAGAGGCAGCACAGTGCCTGAGCGGTTGATCCACAGCAGGAAGTCTGCAGAGAGAGAACATGGATCAGCACCGGGCCTCGAGACCCCCTGCTACTGATGGGACATGGGCTGGGGGACCCCACATCCCCCAGGGTGGGAGACACTGTGCCAGCCAGCCCAGCAGATGGGGGCACAGAGGGGATCCCCCTGCTGCACTGGCCCAGATGACCCCTCCTGCAGCAGGGGTGGCTCAGGGAGCTTCGTCACAAAGCGCCGGGGAAGGCAGTGTCACAGGGAAGGTGGTGACAAAGCAGACAAACCCAGTTCTGCTCTGAATAACCTCCCACCCTCAGGCCATGCCGATAGCACTCTTCTCCCACCAGCTGCCGCAGCGCCTCGGCCACCAGCCCCTTGTAACTGCGGGGAGAAAGAAGAGTCAGAGGAGGCACTCGGGAGGACCCCCAGCCTGCCCGCTTGAGCACTGCCCACCCGCACACTCCCTCTGAGCGCGTCTGCGCAGAGACACAGAGGCCCCTGCGAGCAAGAAATGAGAGCCTTTAGCTCTGCTGTTCTGGGTCAAGGAGGGGACATGCTCCAGCTCATTCAGCAGAAAAACTCCTCCCGACATCCCTCCACCACCAGCACATTCTCCTTCCCCAAAAGGGCTGTCAGGCACTGGAAGGGGCTACCCAGGGAAGGGGTCGAGTCCCCACCCCTGGAGGGATTTAACAGCCGGGCAGAGGCGGTGCTGAGGGCCAGGGTTTGGGGGTGGGATGGCAGGGGTAGGGGAACAATTGGGCTGGGAGAGCTTAAGGGGCTTTTCCAACCCAAACAGTTCTGTGGTTCTATATTGCTCCTCTGCAGGCTTTGGAGCTCACATACAGGCCTTTACCCAGCACCGTCCTCACCTGGGATCCTGCCAGAACAAGGTCACCCACCCGCATCCAAAGCGACACCGTTCTGCCCACCCGCAAGGGCCAGGTGGCAGGTGCCCAGCCCACCCCACTCCCAGCCCCACTCCCCCTGCCCGGGGCAGCCCTCCCCTCCCCAGCACACTGCCCGCCCCCGCTGCTGACCTGTACTTTCTGTTGGCCTCGTCAGCCGTCAGGGCGTGCTCGAACATGAGGACGCGGTAGCGCGGGTCAAGGCGTGGGCCACTGTAATCGTGGAACTCCAGCTCCACTGCCGCATCCA